CATATATCCCTGTTTCTTCCGGATTTTGAATTTCACAATTCAAAACTATGAATTCAATTCCTGTCCTTCCTTTGTATTAGAACAACTGGGGATTATTAGACTCAGAATGCCAGCTTTCCGGCTCAAGGGCTCCTGCAGAATTATTAATCAGCTGCTTCTGAGGGCCCTGTAATCTGGTGGCAGATCAAGGCTGAACTCGCCATGAGATGCCCTCCCTCTGCCCCCATCAGCACATGCATTTCTCATTCTCTGTCAACAGCAGCATGACAATTTCGGCACAGTGCGCTATGACCTGAACAACAAATGTCAGGGGAGGGAAAAATCCTTCTAATTGTTGAATTTAATCTTTCTCATGCTGGAGAAGCAACCCACCATTTGATGAAAAGCAGACCCTTTCAAATGCAGCCATTGTTTTAATTAATGAGCAGGAAACTCAAGTGTTCCTAACCAGAGCGGTGCAGCCATTAAATGACCACACCACGCCCCCTGTGCCCACGTGCAAAGCTTATCATCCTGAGGGGATGTCTGGTGAGAGGCCCCGGGGTCAACTTCCCCAGGAGAACGTCCTGCCCTCCGCCCTAGGAGAGGAGCTGTGGGAGACATCTTTCCTGCTGAGCTGACGAGTTACATGCCTGAGCCATGGCTGGTTGTAATCAAGCCTCCTAGATCCCAGTTGAGTCCACTTCAGTCGCTAGGCAGAAAAGCACCTTCATTTGTATTCCTACCGCTTCAAGCTTCGGGCTTCCGCCGGCATTTCTGTGAGGGACTGCTTTGTTTCTCCGCTGCACTATCGTGGAGCTTCGGGTGCTAGATTAATAGTCAGGGGTAGCAGGTCAGATTGGCAGGGAAATGGAGATGAATTGTACAGATCACCCATTTCCCTCATAGAAGGGATATGTTCAAAGCGAAAGATTAAAATGAAAAGAAAGGAGACTTTAAATCACCCTTTCCTGCCCAAGTCTCTTTTAAGATTAAAATAAAAAAAAAAAAAATTTTGTGAGAAGGAGGTAGGTGAATTTCTTCCATTTTCCTCCCCTTCCATATTCTCTGATGCTGCCCAGAGGAAACAGATGGGACAGGTCAGGACAAGCACGATTTCTCTGAATACCTTTCCTTTTTATCTGCCCTGGTCAGTCCCATTTTGTATTCAGTGTGGGTATTTCTTTCTCCTTTGTGCCGTTTTGGGCAGATCGGTTCAGCGGTTATTTATGAATGGTCAAGAACAAGTCCTTGGTCTTTGCATCCCGTGTTTCTTAGTCATCATCAAGAAGGAAGCAGATGGCTGCGTTCTGTGATTTTAAAGTGTGTAAATAGCAACTGCAGACTGCCATCAAACATCAAAAATGTCATTTGACTTCCTTGTCTTGCTTTGCTAGCAAAAGGAACTCCTGAGTTTTCATCATCTGGATAACCAGAGAAAGACATTGCCTCTGAAAACTGCCCCAAGTTTTGCAGCCTGTTTTCTTCCAGCCCAGGAGGGTGCATAGCAGCAGCATGCTGGTCTCCCCCTAAAGGTACCAGCACTGTGCCACCTTGAAATTTGGGGTGGGGAGTGCATTTTGAAAAAGAAACCCAGAGTGGTAATTGTCTTCTCTATCATCTCTTCCTTCGATGTCTTCCGAACTCCCATCCAAGCCCATCCACTGTTCCTAAGCTGTATTGCCAAACCCAGAGCTACCTGTATTGCCTAACGCACTGTTGGCATGATGTCAGACTGACCCAGGCCCACTGCCCCTCCTGGGGGTGGCTGGATTCTCCGAATAATTTCTGTGTTGAACTAAATTCCAAACATCAGTTAATTACTTAGGCCTGAGTTCTTCTTACCACCCTGAGCAATAACATATAGATGGTTAAAGAGCTCTACACACAGTTTTCTTGTGTTTTGTTCTAGATAGGAAATTCACAGATATAGTATCCATCTTATTGGGGTACTGGATCAGAATTTTTATTCCAATATTGCTTCCTTTTTGGCTCTTGGAAAGGTGGAAGGATAGTTGGAATTATTCAGAGTATTGGTGGAGACCAAGTGGGATTCATACCAGGTGTGCAAGGATGGTTCAACAGTAGAAAATCAATGTAATCCACCACATAAATAAAACAAAGGAAAAGAACCACATGATCATATCAGTCGATGTAGAAAAGGCATTTGATAAAATCCAACACACATTTTTGATAAAAAGTCTCAGCAAAATAGGGATAGAAGGGAAATTCCTCAGCATAATTAAGGGCATATATACAAAACCAACAGCCAACATTATTCTCAACAGGGAGACTGAAAGCATTCCCCTTCAGAATGGGAACCAGACAAGGATCACAAGGATGCCCTTTCTCACTACTCTTATTCAATATTGTACTGGAAGTCCTAACCAGAAGACTTGCAATAAAGCAAGAAGGGGAAATAAAAGGCATACAGATTGGTAAGGAAGAAATAAAATTATCCCTATTTGCAGACGACATGATCCTATACATAGAAAATCCCGGATATTCTGCAAGAAAACTACTGGAACTAATAGGATTCTGCAAAGTGGCAGGGTACGAGATCAACCCATCAATATCAGTCGGATTTCTCTACACTAACAAAGAGAACTCTGAAAAGGAACTTAGGAAAACAATACCATTTACATTAGCCTCCAAAAGATAAAATACTTAGGGATAAACCTAACTAGGGTTGTAAAAGACTTATACAAAGAAAACTACAAAACACTACTGCAAGAAACCAAAAGAGACATAAATGAAAGAACATGTCATGCTCATAGACAGGAAGACTTAACATTGTGAAAATGTCAATACTACCCAAAGTGATCTATAGATGTAATGCAATCCTGATCCACGTTCCATCAACATTCTTTAAAGAGATGGAAAAGCTGATCACCAACTGTCATGGATTGAGTTGTGTCCCCCAAAAATATGTGTCAACATGGCTAGGCCATGATTCCCAATATTGTGTGGTGGTTCTCCATTTTGTGATTTGATGTAATTTTCCTTTGTGTTGTAAATCCTCACTCATCTCTGCCTGTGGTTAATGAGGCAAAATTAGGTTATATTAAAGAAGATTAGGGTGGGATGCAACACCCTTACTCAAGTCATATCCCTGATCAGATATAAAGGGAGTTTCCCTAAGGTGTGGCCTGCATCACCTTTTATCTTACAAGAGGAAAAAGGAGAAAGAAGCGAGCAGAGAGATGGGACCTCATACCACCAAGAAAGAAGCACTGGGAGCAGAGGACATCCTTGGACCGGGGTCCCTGCTCTGAGAAACTCCTAGGGGAAGATATGAGGACAAGGACTTTCCGCCAGAGCCGACAGAATGAAAAAGCCTTCCCCTGAACCTGGCACCCTGAATTTGGACTTCTAGCCTCCTAGACTGTGAGAAAATTAATTTCTGTTTTTCAAAGCCATCCACTTGTGGTATTCCTGCTATAGCAGCACTAGATAACTAATGTACCAACTTTATGTGGAAAGTAAGAGACCCCATATAAGCAAAGCACTATTGAAAAAGAACAAAGTAGAAGGCCTCACACTTCCCAATCTCTGAACCTTCAGTACAGACACGGTAGTCAAAACAGAGCATTGGTGGTCTAGAACAGCAAGCAGGGTTCCTCCTTTCTTTAGTTCTACTCAAGACAGCCACTTAAGCCCCGCAACACAGTCTTCACTTCAGAGAAAGTTCCATTGATGGTTCTCAGATTTTCTTTCTAAGAGTATATTGTTGTTGTTATTGGGTCAAGTTGACTCTGACTCATAGCAACCTCATGTGATAGAGTAGAACTGCCCCATAGGGTTTCCTAAGCTATCATCTTTATGGAAACAGATAGCCAGGTCTTTAACCTGCAGAGCCGCCAGATGGGTTCAAACCACGAACCTTTTGTTTAGCAGCCTAGCACTTAACCTTTGTGCCACCAGGGCTCCTTTCTTCCTAAGAGTAGAGACCAAATACCCACTATTTCAGGAGATGCTCGTTAATTTCCTTTTTCTTTTGTGTTGGCAACGGGAATGTTCCTGGGTTGACTGGCCATGAATTTTGTTGGCCACCATTGGGAGGAAGATGATGAGAAAAGACAAGCAGCCCAGAGATTCCTCCTCTTACCTTCTGACTTCTTCATAGATACTTGGAACAAATGTTCCAGCCTGCTTTCTCCTCTTCAAGTAAGGATCTAATGCCCTTCCACAATTCATCTTTATGCTTATCCTTCCCTGACTTCAGTACCACAAGATCAGTGTCCAGACACCAATTTTGTCCCCACCATACTCCCTGGTGGCTAAGTTTACTCCCCTCTGTCCTCTAGTTGTTCTGAGTTAAATTTTCAATACCCATTGCTAGACTTTCCACCTTTTCTCTGTCTAGTCCTCAGTTTTGGGCTCCCCTCAGAACTTGCTCACCCCTCTCAGCCTGAATATTCCTCCATGACTTCATCTCAACTAGACTTTGAATCTGTGCCAAGTTTGTCGGCCCCGTGCCTTTGCAGTATGTTCCGGCCCAACTTCTGGTTCTTATCTTCTCTGGCCTAACTGGTTCACCAAATCCCCAGTAGGACCACACTTCTCCTTACTCCCTATCCCCTTTCTTCTCGATCTCCCTGGCCATCCTTACGTATTTGAGATGAAGTATAATCTCAATACATTCTACCATTTACTTTTTATTTATTTTTATTTAATGAATGTGGTGCTGAAACTTCACGAACTTAAAGTGGAAATTTCAACAGAATGTGTCACCAGGAATAACCGGAAAACACGAAGTTACGTTACTTCAGAAGCATTTGGGAAGTTTAAAAGTCATTCCTTTGGCCTAGTGTAAAATTCTTAGTTTTGCTTTGCCAAGTTTTATTGGGGTTGAAATCATTGTTTTGTTTAAATAACCACAAAGTTCCAGGTCAGGTCAGGTTTGATTCTGCCTTTTTCATAGGATATCCTGTCCTGTGTCTTGCCTGTCACCTCCTCCTCCATGTAATTGGCTTCCTGTTATTTGCATAGTTCACGATTTATTTTCTTTTATTCCCCAGGGTGACTTTAAAGTTGAAATACTGCACATGATTTGATATTGGATGTGATAATTTCCAGAGTTTGTGGCTTCATAATTAAAGAGGGCTCTAGATGGATCTTTGGTTCAGAAGAACAATATCTGTTGTTAAAGCTGATGCCTTTGCACCTTGAAAATGCTATTGGGCAGGACTTCTGTTTTTTGCTTCTTTTAGTCTGCAGTGGATTCACCTCTCTACCTTGGCCCAGTTTTTTAGCCAGAAAGGACATTTTCTGAAACAGAGCTATGGAATTGACTTGGTCACTGGAAACAAAAGGCTTGACAGCCCAGTGCTCTACCAAGAGCAGATGATGCAAGCCAGGCCCCACCCAAGCCTATCCTGGCCCCTGCCTTGAGTCCCACCCCAGGAAGAACCGTGGGTCACACTGCATCATTTCAGCGTGATCCCTTCTTCCCTAGCATCCCCATTCCCTATTCATGTCCTGTTTTTCGTTTCTCCTCTGAGCCCTCTTCTCCTAAAGCCATTGCTACGGTTTAGCTCTTTGTCATGTTTGCATGTAAGCTCTGTCTTCTCAGCTGCCTGGAAACTCTCTGGGGTAGGGGTGATGACCTGTGCTTAATTTTCCCAGTAGTGCCCAGCACTGTGCTGGGAACTTAATGGACACTCAGTAAATTCTCAGTGATTGATTGAAGTTTGGAGAAGTTTGGCTAACCTGATGGCATTTGCCAATGCAGCTCATTCCTTTATTAAAATGAATTTAGACTTCAGGTTGAGTACACTATCTAAGTGCATTACTAATCCAAATAAAGTAATAGCTGGCATTTATTTAGCTATTACCAGGTGTCAGATACTGTGCAGAACACTTTGTTATAATTCTCACTACAACGTTAAGAGGTTATCATCAACCCTGATTTGGAGATATGGAAACTGAAACTTAGGGAGGTTTTTTAGGGAGGTCACCCAGCAAATCCAGGGTTCAGACCCAGGTGTTCCTGACACTGAAGCACATTTTTAAATGACTGTACTATTCTGCCTTCCCCCAATGTCTGCTTGATCCCAGGTCAGCCCCCAGTTGGGCCTCTTTGCATTGTCACTGAAGAGTGTTAGCTCCTTATTTTCTAGCCTGTGTACATACACTTACTGCAGGAGGTGGCTTTTGGAGCAATTGTATCTACAGCCTTCACTTAAGTGTTTGAAATGCCACTGCCTCCTCTTAATGCATGAAGATGCACAAGTACAAGAGGTAACCGAATCAAGTAAGAACTGTTTCCATTTGAAGCAGATTGCCTGGTCACTAGGGGTGGAGGGCTTCATTAACTGGAATGTGACCTGGGGGTTGGGTGGGCCAGCCTGTCTTCACAGGTTTACCCAATCATCCTGTTTTCACTTAAAAACCAAAAATGTCCTAGCATATGGTAAGGATGATATTATTCCTATAACTCTGAGGGGAGGGGGATCGTTAGTCTGTTACATTGCTGTATTATCACTCTTTCCTTTGTATTTGGTTTGATTAAACCTGCATAAAGGAAGAGAGGATCTGTCAAGAATAAATTTCTTTGGCCACCAGGGTGGTAGATAGATTGCTGCCTGGATTGACCTTATGGTCAGTCAACAAGCATTTATTGAGCAGCTGCTGTTTAATTAACACATTAGGTAAGGTATAAGTGTAGTATAAAGCATGGTCTCTAACTTCAAAGGATTTTCATTTCTGTCTGTGGAGATAAAAAATAGCACGTATTTTCTGTAAACCTAGAACTATAAAAAATACAGTATATTTAAATATATAAAAACACATGTTGAACTATGAGAGACATGGAGGGACATCGACATGGCAGCATAGTATAGTATTTAAGTACTTGGGCTTTGGAGTAGACTCCCTAGATTCAAATCCTAATTCTACCATTTACACATGTCCTTTGACACATCATTTAACCTCATCTGTAAAACAAGACTATTACTGGTACCCACCTTATATGTGTAAAGCACTTAGCATGATGCCTGACACTTAGCAAGAACGCAATATATGTTTAGCTGTTGTAGCTACTGTTATCAGGCATTAAACTGTTGCTAATAGCATTGGTTGTAGGTGCCATTGGAGATATCAATGAGAGCTAGAGGGATTAAAGATGACTTCATTAAAGAGCAGGGACTTAAGCTAAGTAGGCTTTAGCTAAGCAGATGGAAAGAGAAAAGACATTTCAAATAAGCATGATCATGCCAGGTGCAGGGTACAGGAAAGCAAACTAGACTGGATTAACTCTGTATTTGGGGTGGCAAGAGCTAAAGTTGAAAACCAGGGAGGAGATTTGGGCCTAATGCAATAGGGTATCCATTGTATGATCAAGGAGGGAGGGATATTATAAAGGTAAAGTTTAAAGCGATTACATGGAAGAGTAGTGAGCTGAAGGCAGGGCACCCTGGTAGGAGGATTGAACAGAGGTAATGAGGACCCAGGCTGTGGCGGTGGGCATAAACAAGAAAGGACAAACTTGAGATACATGTCAAAGAGGGGAATAAGAGGCAGTGGTGATGGATTAGATCTGGGATTTAAAGAGAGGAGACCCACATGGCTTTCAGGTTTTTCACCTTGAAATCTAGTGGAATGGTAATCTGACTCTCAAAAATGGGATCGTAAAAAAAGAACTCCGTTCGTACCTAGAATATTAAAGTGAGAATGAATTTTGTAAGTCAGTAATTCAGTGAAATTTTCTACCTAGTCCAAGAAACTCCTTTATAAAGTCTCTTACTCAAAGCAAACTTAAGTTGGAAGTTGCTACATTTGAGTTAAAGGTAGCATACCCTGGAGACTTTGCCCCATGGACTTTAGATGAGAAATAGAGTCTGAATGTGTATCCAGCCTCAGTCATGTAGAGTTGGCAGGCAGGGTTAGTCATGAGAGAGGTTGTGTTCCCCAAGGGAATAAAACAGAGAGACAAGAATCTGGAACACTGAGGCTTCAAAGACGCTAGTAGTTAATGAGGGAGAGAATAAAGAAGAGGCTACAGTGGAGACAGAAGAAGTGCTTAGAAAGAAAGGAAGAATATTGGGGAAGATTAAACTCAGAAAAGATCATTTATTTCTCATAGAAATGTTTGAGCTTTACAAAGTATTGGATTATGCTAAATTTTACTCCTTTGTTCCTGAGATTATTGATGTTATTCAAATGTGGAAAATGTGCTAAAATAGCCCCAATGTGACTAGAGCCACTAGTTAAATAAACAAGATCACAGAAGTGACAATAGAAACATAATCTACCCACTTGGTAATTGCTAATACACATCCATGGACCTGGAGATGTCATGATGCTATTAAAGAGTTTTGAGAAGTTAGCATGCTTTTCACATGGCCTCATCATCTCCTCACAGATTGTTCTCAGGGTAATGATGTGTATTATCTTCTGTGCTTTAACAACAAGGAGAAAGAATGAGGTGGGATGTCATTGCTCTTCTGATCACAGGCTCCAGAGGCTTCCCATCATTCTTAGGGTAGAAACCAAAGTCCTTAAAAATCCCACAAAATCTGTCCTTGTACTCCATTTTATTTTTCTTCATAGCACTTACTACTGTCTAACATATATATTATAGTCATTCATTTATTTTATCTTTCTCCCAAACTAAAATGCAAGTTCCATGAGAGCAGGAGAAGAATCTGGAACACTGAGGTATCCCTGTGTATCCCCAGCACCGAGTATAGTGTCTGACACACATCAAATACACAATTAACATTTATAAGAAGAGAGGGGACAAAACCAGCCCAGCAGTGGTGGGGTTTTTCATTGTTGTTTTTGTGGACAAACTGATAACCAAATAAATCTGCAACCTCTTCTTTCTCTTACTTAAAGCATGGGTGATTATTAATCTTATTTTAAATGAGAAAGATCAGGGCCTCATGAGGTTGAAGTGATTGGTGTCCAGTCACTTGATTTCATCCTTGTGTACTGAGAAAAAAGGTTTTCCACTTCCTCTTGCTGTGAGTACTCCCAAGGCTTCTTGCCACCTTGTGTTTCTGCCTATATAACCCTCCCTCCCCAGCTGCAGCCCTGTAATCCTCATGGAACAAAGTTTGGGACTCTCTCCACCTTAGATTCAGTCAGACCCAAAAGGGGTCTGAACACATTTCATTTGGCACTAAAAACTCAGGGTTTTCTTGGTGTTTACAAATTTCATTAATGTGTGAACAGATGCTCTTAAATAGTAGTTACGCATGTTAGAACCTTAAAAGGGCATCCAGATAGTCACAGACAGTGACACTGATTGCCAAGGACAAGGTGAAACCTCAGAGAGAACAGGGAGCTGATAATAAGGCCCATAAGGAATCATGGTTATTCAGCCTAAAAGAGAAGGCTGGAAGGGCTAATCAGCTGTTCAGTTATTTGTTCATTCATTCATTCAACACCTCTTTATCACATGCCTTCTGGGCACTGGGCTCAGTACTGGAGATATGGTGGTCATTAAGAAAGACAAGCTTCTGCCCTCAAGGATGGTACCATCAATCAAGAGAGACACACTTCAGACAACTAATATATTCACTGCACTTTAATAGTACCAGCAACAAAGAAGAACAAGATGCTCTGGCAGCATAGAACTGGTTAACCTACCCCAGTCTTAGTGGTCAGGCAAAGGTTCCCCATGCAAGTAACATTTAGGCAAAGGACAAAGAAGGAGTAGGAATTAGCCTTAGGGTAAGGGTAGGTGAGAGATTTTTGGCAAAGGGAACAGCTCGTCCTGTAGCCCTGAAGCAGGTAGGAGCTTGGATAGACAATGAAGAGGCTAGGGGATCAGGATAACAAGATGAGGCTGGAAAAGTGATCAGATTATACACGTAGGTCCAATTGGTAGGCTATTGTAGGAGTCCAGGTAGGTGACAGTGATCCTGGAAGAGTGAAGATAGTGAAGATGAAGAGGACTGGACATATCCAAGGATATAAAATTGACAAGATTTTATGATGGCCTTAATATAGGAAATGATAAAGTAGGAGGGGCTAAAGATTCATTCAATAAAGATTTATTGAGCTCCGTTTATAATCACAGGGATGAAAAATTAGACATATCATCCAGAATAGGATGATTCTCAGGATTCTGGCATTATCAACTGGTGATTGACCAAGATGTCAAAGAATGAAAAAGAAGCAGAATTGTGGGGAAGATCAATTTTGGATATTGTATTTGAGGGGCCTTTTGAGAACTCCCAATGGAGCTGTTGAGAAGGGAATTGGATGTACAGGTCAGGAACTTGGGAGAGAGGTCCCATCTGGTGATACAAATGTGGGTGTCATTGGAGTCTAGATAGTCATTGAAGCCACGGAGTGGTTATTGTTACACAAAACTTGTGACCAGTTGTCTTACATCTCTTCTAACAGAACTTAGAGAAACAAGATTGAAATGTATATAAGGAATTTGTATTTAAAACACCGGTATATTTATCACAGAAAATAATTCAGCCTAAGGCTGACTGGTCTTATATGCTGTTCTAGGGAGTTAAATGACTAAATTACAAAGGTACTCTTACCAATACAGTGGTTCCAGTGACAACACCAAGACAGGGTTTCAAGGATGAATTTACCCTGAAAGACTGGTAGAATCTGCAAATACTACCTGGAAAGCATTCAATGGAAAAGACACTTTCAAGTACATACATACATACATATATAAGTGCATACTACAGCCTTTATGTATTGGCCTCGGAGTCCCTGGGTGGTATAAACAGTTAACACGCTCAGGTGCCAAATAAAAGGTTGGAGGTTTAAGTCCACCCAGAGGCACATCGGAAGAAAGGCCTGCTGACTACTTCTGAATCAGCCATTGAAAAACAGTTCTACTGGAGCACAGTTCTACTCTGATACACATGGGGTTTCCATGAGTTGTAATCAACTCCATGGCAACTAGCTTGTTTTGAGTTTGTGTGTGTGTGTTGGCTTCAAAGAATTCTAAAGTGTTAAAGTAATTCAGTAAGAAATGAAACATATAGTGACGGTAATTTCTTTTTTAAAAAAATTCACCAAAACATTGAGTAAGTATTTTGAGTGTGACAGTGTTCTCTAAGGTCAGTGGCACACATCATCATCACCTGCATTGCTTGCTAGATTTCCTCTAGCATAAAGCGGGGGAGAGAAAATTGTGCTGGCATCTGAATCCTGCTCCCAAAGGAGAGAATTTCAAAAAAGAATCAATCAGCTAGTTACATAAAAATACCAACCTAATTGTGTTAATAGATCTTCTGACATTTTTTTCCTTTCTTCTACATACTTTCCCATACTACTTAGGAGGCAGCTTTGATTCTCACTTTATGCCTGCCATGAGATATGTGAAAAAATCTGAGGGGGCAGGATTTTATTTTCAACGGAAAGGCAATGTTTAGCTCAGGAGACCCTTCCTCCCAAGTTCCTGAGCTTTCCTAACTTCACCCAAGAGGGGATCCCATTGCAGCCCCCAGCAGGACCCCCAGTGGGACTCTACATTGTGCACTGGGCATCACTAAGGGCACCATTCTCATAGATGGGTTTTTCTGCGTACAACTCGCACAGCCATTTGCAAAGACCCCCACCAAAAAACACCAGTTAACTTCCCCATTTGGAGCTGCCTTTTAGGGCCAGTAGATTTGTACCCAGTAAGTGGGTATATAAGACAAGGGGAAAGAGAGGCAATGAGATGAGGAGAAAAGTGAGCATCGATTAGTTCTTTTCAGATGAAATCTCAGTTAATGATTAACAGCTCATCTCTGCTTTGATTTAACCTTTTGTCTTCCTTGAAAAGGAAAAAATGAATTATCTTCAGGCACGCTTCTTTTGTCAACAGTAGCTGCTATTTTAAGACAGAAAAAAAGAGAAACTGGACTAACAGCATTCTTTTTATTTTTTTCTTTCAAATGCATTAGGTGTAGATACATTGTCTTAGAAAGAAAACTAATACAAAATAAATTTAAATAAGCTCCTGTAAATAAGCCAAAGCACATATCTACAGTTATTTCCTATCAGAGATCCATTACATTGTACAGCCTTTGTTTTAACTTATTTTTTGAAGGTTTTCATATAATTCTTGTTGTAGATTATAAAATAATTCAGCAAACTGGTGGAACTGGCTACAACATTGATATTTGGTTTTGTTTTTTAAATCTGAAATGATAAGTCATCCCTTAGAAAATCCAAAATGACTTTATCCAAATTTTAACTAGTTTTATTTTCACCAGTGTTAAATGATTCAGAGAAGGGAAGAAAGGCTCCTTTTGCTTGTCGTTTTATTTATTGGATTTGTCTGCACAGCAGAGAAAAATGTTGTGGTTGCTTCAGAGATAGACATAGATATACAAACCATTTGGCTTCAGAGGTAGTTTAAATAGGAATGAATTTAATATACCTTTGATTCACCTTGAAGTAGGGGAACTTGAGCTGAGTTTCAGCCCAGAGTAAAGTCTGCTGTCAACACTGAAGAAAATCTATCACATTAATCCCAGGGGCTCAGAGTCCAGCGCTGCGTGAACAGAATGCTCAAGGATAGGAAGTGTGAAAAGAATGCCTTGAAAGAAACTTTAAAAACAAAATGACTATTCAGCGAATACCAGGCCTTATATGGAATCATCCAGCACTTAAGGAAAGATGTAAATAATTATGCTGGAGAAAAAAGAGCTAATTAAAAACAACTCGGTGCGTACAAGGAGAAGAAAACTCTAGAATAACTTTTCTGCTCCAATGTTAATGTGAGATACCGCGTAATGAAATAGTAGGATTTTTTTTTTTTAATTTCATTTCACATTGGCATATAAGAGATGAAGAGTAAAATTATATTACAAGAAAATGCTAGGGTAGATTTGCTGAAGATGTTATATACTGTATTTAAAACAAAAATCTTATTGCTGTAATTTATCATACCTCTGGTAATTAAGCTGTGCTAATTTAAAAAATTTTTTGTTTGCCACTTTTGCACAGTGACTTTTCATAGAAAATACTAGGAAAATTTCTGATTTTGTCAGCCTTTGTATGATTTTTTTTTTTGAAGCTTCTGAGTAGAATTAACATACTCTAAACATAGCTGTGTTTACATCAGTAATAAAAATTTCTTGTGTTTTTCTTTTACTTTGTTAATGAAATATCTGGAACTGGTTTATAATTACTGAGTCTAGTATGTGACAGCACAGGCTGCTGAATCAGCTTTAATTCTCTGTACTTGTATGTTGCATTGCAGAGAGCAGGGTGGACCCTACTCTTCCACTTGGATTGGAGAGGGGATTGTTTTAATAGAGAAATTGCAAAGAAAAGACTCTACATATGACTTTGCCAGGAACTCGCTCCTTAGTCTTAAGAGATCATAAGACAGTCACCAAACATTAAATAGTACCCTCTCTGACTGGTAGGAGAAAGGTAGCAGAGTAAGGAAGTGATCATAACAGTGCAGAAGAACAAACTACTCCAGAATTAAAGATGGCCACCATAGGGGGCGAGGGTGGAGAGAAGAAAGAGAATACAGGAAGGGAAGTAGCCAGAGGCGAAATTATTTCTCTGCTGTGGGTGTGGGAGGCCTTGGAGAAATATAGTCCCATTTCAGCATAACACACAGGCTGCATCAAATTGTCTCCACCCTGGGAGAAGCATAGTATTTTGGTTTGGTTTTTGTGCACCGAGATAAGACCAAATTATGGTTTTGCTCTACCAAGGAATTTGTGCAGGTAGCATATTGATTTAATCCTGTGTGTATTTATTAAAATAGAGTATTGTTTCAAAGCAAAGGAAAAATACATATAAATTAGTTTCCTTAATCACAGGTTAGGCCCATAGCAAGCTAAACCTACAACATTCAGTATGGGCATAGATCAAGTTCTAGAAGCCAGGACTTTAAGGGACTTTGAAGTCCAACCCTTTGATGGAAAAATTAAAATTAAATTGGCTTGCCTAATATCACGAGCCAGGCCTAGAACCCACGTCTTCTAATCCCAGACCAGTTCTTATTTCAGCTCGTTCTGTTCTCTTCTCTAAACTTGCTTCCGTGAAAGTGACTGCGGTGCTTTTCCTTCCCCTTCCCTATACCCAGTACCCCAGCAGCAGTGTGGTGTTCCCTGCCTAATGAATAACCAGGTGTCTATTCTGCAGGTGCAAAGTTCCCCATTAAGTGGACAGCCCCTGAAGCAGCTCTGTACGGGAGGTTCACAATCAAATCTGACGTGTGGTCTTTTGGAATCTTACTCACAGAGCTGGTCACCAAAGGAAGAGTGCCATACCCAGGTAAGCATGGGACCCAGCAGAAGCGGGCCTCTGATTGGATGCTCATCCAACTCCACTGGGGGAAGCCTCACCCAGGTTGCCTTTTAAGCCCCATCCTAAGTATTCTGCAGAGCAAGAGTATGAAGAACATGGGCAAGTATTTAGCCAGAGAAAAGCAGAACTAGGAGCCACCATGAGTTGTGTGCCAGGTTTAATGTAATTAGTAGCTGGTATGGATACTTCAGTCCCCCACCCCCTCGGTTCATGAATCCCTGCTCTCCCGTTAGGAGTGTGTGTCTGGCTCCCAGAGCAGAAATGTCACTGGCAGAGCCTCTGCCTGAGTGGAGTTTGCAGACATATCTGGGAACGAGAAGGAGAAAAGCCCCCACTGCTTTTTGATTACACTGTAGCACTGACCCATGGAGTGGACCTGGCAGAAAAATGCAAAGACCTGTTCTCTCTTCATGCCCCAGCTCCAGATGGCCAGAGAGAGCAGAGGCACATGCGAAAAATAAAATAGGCCGTTCACTGCTGTTTCTGAACAGCTGAAATTATGCTATACAAAAGCAAGTATAATGTAAAGAAATTGGAGATTCCAAGGTCCTCAAATTTCCCTGGACTATCAGATTCATGCTCTCCAAAGAAACCATGGCTTAGGTTCCACCAAACCCATTGCCATCGAGTCTATTTCGAGTCATAGCAGCCCTGTAGGACAGAGTAAACCGCCCCATAGGGTATCCAAGGCTGTAATCTTTATGGAAGCAGACTGCCACATCTTGCTCCTGAGGAGCAGCTGGTGGGTTTGAACTGCTGACCTTTCAGTCAGCAGCCAAGCACTGAACCACTGCGCTATCAGGGCTCCTTTTCGGGTTAGGTTAGCCATGCTTAAATTCATTAACTTAGACAGATGATGATGTAAAGGACACTCGGGCTATTTCACCTCCACGCTTTAGTGGTTATAACATGGGGACAATCTGCTTTTTGAAATGTTAAGGACATATTTTTCAGTTATTGCTGAGTGAAGAAAGAACATAGCTCCCCCTCATTCCCTGCCTAAGAGAAGAGCTTTAAAAAAAAAAAAAAACAAAAAAAAAACAGTGATAGAAGCGATAGTGGAGATTAATGAGGAATTTGGGTCTCTTGCAAATCCTGGGCTTGTGATCGTATCTTTGCAGTCAGAGGAGCTGGCGAGGGCAGATGAATTTGTAATCCCTTTGTTCATTTTTTTACGATTGTTTCTGGTCATCTTCAGAGAACACAAACAAGTGCCCATAAAGAGGATCACTTTTCCATTGGTATAGCCTAGAGACTCCTGGGAGAGCCAGGTTGGCAAGGAGGCAAAATTGACAAATTCCCCATCTCTGAAGTGTTCGTGCCAGGCATTTAGAAATGCGGGTGTGAGTCGGTTTTATTGATGCTGCAGTGCCTGCTGCTCGCAGCATACACAAGTGGGCAGACTCTCCGGGAAGAATCAACCAGCACAGAAGAAAGAGCTGCCCTGGAGGGGGCTGGAGCACAGCATGGGAGGTTTTGAATTGCTTCTCCAGGGGAAAAATGTGCAGGTCTCGGGATTTTGAAGATATAAAGGCACCTCTTTTTTCATTGCCCGCATTGTGAAGTAATTTCTTCCTGAGCCCCCCAGGTTTATAGCCACCTGGTGTGTTAAATGCAATTGGGGGGAAAAGGTTAATGTTGTTTTGCATTTCTGTGAAGGCTTCCCCGCCCGTAATACAAAGCTGCTTTTTGTTTCTGGGGGTCACACACAGAAGCCTTGACAAAAGGTGGGGGTGGGGGCCTCAGAGAGGGAAGGCAGGTGTGTGTTTCTAAGGAAGAGTCTTTTATCAGGTTTGGTTTTAACAGAGAGAATGGCCTCATTTTACAGCTTAGACTAGGGTTCATTCGTCCATCAGAGCTGCAGTGTCAGCTGTGCCAGGCTCTGTGCTTTACCACAGAAATAAGTGCAAGACATTCAGACCCTCAGCAAACATTGATTCGAAATTGCCACAGGCTAGGCAGTGATTTAGGGGCTGGGGATAGAACGGTGAACAAATATATCAATCTAGTCCCTGCACTCCTGGAGTTTACAGTCAAATAGATAAAATATGCAGCAAATTCAGGAAGAAGTCAAATTTCTTTGTTATTCATTTCTGATTAGAGGAAATCACTCTTTAAAGGGATGGATTACTTGAATTTGCCCACTGTGGACCCCAAATCTGAATTCTGATAGTAGGGTCGGAGATGCTCAATTCAGGCATCTACATATGACAGGCACTGACTGAGACCCTTCACTCAGAATCCTGTGAGGATGGCAAAAACCAGTTGTCACGAGTGGATTCTGACTCACCGGCACACCATGTGTGTCAGAGTAGAGCTGCACTCCATAGGGTTTTTAATGGCTGATTTTTTGGGAGTAGATTGCCAGGCCTTCCTTCCAAGGCACCTCTGGATACACTTGAACTTCCAACCTTTCGGATAGCAGCTGATCACAATAACTATTTCCACCACTCTGTGAGGATGGCAAAAGAGTTTGCAATGAGAACTAAATCCAAGTTATTACATACTATAAGTTACATACTCTGCATAGTTACTATGAGCTACCACTCATCTGCAGTGGGTTATGATAACCACCTCCAATTTTGTAGAGGCGGCAGAGAAAGGGGTTGTGTCTGGGAAGCTTCAGAGAGGAGGCAAATAAAGTCCTGGAAGCTGAGTAGGGTTCTTCAAGTAGAGGATGAGGGAAGACTGGGTAGCCTGTGGGAAGGCACAGAGGCCTAGAAGGACAGAGCCAGTTCAAGGAGCTGCAGGAAAGTGAGTGAGGATAAGAGAGCACGTGAGGTGAAGTACCTGGAGAGGCAGCTGGAAAGGTGGGTCAGAACCAGTCGTGAGGGTCCTCGTGTGCTGCCACAGAGGGCCTCAGAGAGCTGTGTCAGCTGGGGAGTGACATGAGCTGAAAATTGTTTCCAGCACTGCTTCTAGCCATGGGTGCGCCTTGTTTTTGTTTTTTAACTTAGCTGTAATCATATTTAATTGGACTTCTGAATCTGACAATAAACACTTCTTGAGGGAGAGGCTTTTACAGAGGGATTCCAATTATGGGATTATTACATTAATGAAGGATAACCATTCCTAAAGAACAAACAGTTTCATTAAGCTTCATCCAGATGCCACTGTAAAGGGAAGGACCTTCCCCTCCACATTCTTGCTGTTTGTTGGTGTGACTGGTTCAGTCAGTGTATACCGAGGGGGACTTCTGCTCAGCTCTCCTGAGTTGTCTTTGTGCCTGTTGATACTACCCCAGGACAGACTCCAAATCACTTTATATCAGGACTTCCATTCTTACGCTTAAATGTGGCTGATTTCTCAGTTGGAAAGAGTATATTTTCAAGTAATTCGTTTTTCAAGAACTGTAGGTGGCGGTACATTTTTCTAAGTTCTGTCATACATGAGAATGGCCTTCACATACAGGAAAGGTACTTTGAATGGTAGGTGAGGATGGAGATGGGAGAAAGGGGAGGTGACTTGTAAATGGGTTCTACAAGGTTTTCCAGGCATTTTTGCTCAGCACGAAAGACGCTCCAAAAGTAAGAATCAGAGAAGGAACTTATAATGGGAGTATGTGAGGTGTGAGCACAATGAAGAACAGAAGGGATGAAGAGAAAATAAAAGATTGGATTGGCTGGTTAGTTAGCAAGTTTTGTGAGAGGAATTTATAAAGGAAGGGAAGGACAATCTCAAATTGAGAGCCTTGAAACTAAAGGAAGAAAAACTGAAATATGATGCTGACATTAACGAGGAGATAGTGGAGAGGAGTCCCATCACCTTACCAGACAAAGAAGGTTGCTTTCACGATGTGTAACAAAGATGGATGCAGCTCCAAAGATGAGTTCTATTTTGTAAACTCCCTAGTAGCCACCTGACCTGCATGCCTGCTCAGCATAGCAGCCTGGCTTAGTTTTCTGTAAGCCAGGATTCAGAACCATTCTTTGCATCAACATGATTTTATACTAATGGATTATTGTATATGAGGGGAAAAAACACTTAAGCAAATGCAGTTTTCTAAGGGTGATACATAATATCAGGATTGTGCATTTTAACCTGTCGATTTACCTTCATAACCTCTCTCAAATCCTTCTCCTCTCTGCCTCCACTGCCAGTGCCCTATGTCAAGCTGTCATCTGCCCACACAGTGGTCCCTTAGTGGGACTTCTTG